AATGTTTAATCATGATTTCGGAGAACGCTGATAAAAATGGTGGGAATTTACTTGAATTTTTACATACTTTGCTATACACAAAAAATGTACCTAAATGGAATGAACGTACGTTGTGTCGAATTATTTATTATAAGTATATATCTACTTACATTTTGGATTACATTGTCGACAGATTTCACCAAATTAGCATTCCCGCAACTTTAGATTATACAGCTGTTAAATAGTCCACTATATTAATTACCCCCGCACACACCACGCCCTTTGACCTATATTTATATTATAAATCACTACACTAATTAACGTAGTTGGCCACCGGTGAGTACAAGCTGTTGGCATTTGTTTAACAGATGAAGGGTCGAAAATACAAGTATTTAATTGTTTGTTTAGTATTTAATAGATAGTTTGTTTAAAATTAAATCAAACTGACTTAAGTTTGTTTTTTTGAACCTTTCGATTTTCGTTTCGTTGGGAACAATATTGTAACACAATTACAAGACCATTATAAAATTTTTCATCGATTGACGGTCTATAAAGGCAACAAAAAGTTGTTTTGAAAGTCCTAACAGTGATAAATGGTTTTGGTATATGTGATTATTGTCTCTTTTCAATGGCTTGAAAAGTGTCTTTGTCCGATTTGAGTGGCTTGGTAGTTTATTACTGTCTAGGTCTAGGTGATTTTACAGAAACAGGCTTGGGATATAGGTAGGTACTGTGGATGGTAGCTGATGAATTTTTAAAAAATCTCCACTCTCCTAGACTGGCTTGACACTTTTTATGTACTTATAGGGTCTAAATACCCGCGTATAATACAATAACAATGTCATAGTATATTTTAATCCATTTCAATTATTTTATTTGTTTAATTTTTCCTGATTGAATGTCGACAAAAAGCAACTAAAAAAAATTGTTGGTGGCTTAAGATTTGCGTTTTAAAGGAAATTATATTCGTTAAATATGCGCATTTTTAATATAAAATGTTTGAACTTCATTTGTTTTGTAAATGTACGAGGTCAATTGCAGAATCCAGTGGCGTAGTAAGATTTGAAATAAAAAAAAATCAATTGATAATTGAAAATAAATTAAAATTTCATATGACGTAAGACAGTTCTTGAAGATCTGTCTTAAAAGTAAACGAATTAAAAATAATACATCTTTTACAAAGGTACCTTTGTCATAGTCAAATTGAACCACAAATCTTATACTAACCGTCTGTTTTCTCCAGTGTACTGGAAAGTTAAATTAAAAAAATAATAATAACGCCATCTGTTGAGCAAAACGAAAAGACAATTATTAGAATTAGGATACAAAATATACATATTTCGCTGGTTTGGATATGCATTAGATATTTATATTTATCAAATATGATATGTTTAATTTTTGAGAGTTTCCTTGTGTAGATATTTTTTTATAAAAACCTAAAATTTTGAAATATTGCTGTACAAAAAACATTGACAACTTCATCTTTTAAACGCTACCTACTTTGAAGTTGAAAATATTTTTTTAGCTTCCTTGTATATTTTTCTATACAGGGTGTTATTTAAGTACGTGACCAAACTTCAAGGGATGATTCTTTGAGTGATTCTAAGACAAAAAGTTTATATATACACACATGCCCGGTAATGCCTCGTTTTCAAGTTACAGGGTGACAAAAAAAATGTTTTTTCGTAAAAATCTTTAGCCGATTTTGTTGAAATTTGGCAGTGTTATTTACGGTAGAAAGGGGCTAATTTAGCCCTAAATGGATTAAAATTATTAAGTCCAGTGGCGTCCCGGGGGCACCTTAATCAATTTTTTTGACAAAAAAAATGTGCGCCGCTGACTTTTTCAAAACTTTTAAAATTTTTTCGTATAAAGCAACTAAAAATACAACTTTTTGTTCCTTGAATTTTTTTCGTATCTTGCTTCCTTTTTGGAGAAAAAAATAAAAATCACTTTATTGCATGTATTTCTGCGCTAGAACAAGATTTTTTTGGAACTATATCTAGATTTTACAATAGTTGCAATTCTAAGTGAAAAACGAGGGTGTTACAGCGTTTGACTGTTCATCAACAAGTGCAGCCCTTGCCATTGACACTGACCCACGACGCGTCTCCCCCACGTACCCAACTCCAGTCTATATGCCCCCTAGAATCGCAAATCGCACCCCCATCCAGTCGGCTATGCAAACATATTGTTTATAAACAAATGCCAACGACTGATCCCCGGTCACGTAGGCCGCGCACCGCCACTTACCCGACAAAATCGCAAGTCCGACCGGCCTAGGGCAAAACCACGAAAATGCCACGCATTATCGCCTCATTTTCACAAGTCACGGCACTCCCGATGGTTCGGCCGCGGCAGGGCAAGGCTCGCAGCGCTCGGCGGTCTAGTAATAGTAGGCTCCGGCTGCGAAAGGGCAACGGGACATCCCGGTTGGCTGTGGCGCTACGTTGGCTCGGCGCGCCTTGTTCGACGGCGGTGTGGCGACGCGCCCAACGCAGCCCACTGTGGAGATTCGGGGGAACTCTCGGGAAAATCGGCGGCCGGCATCGATCGCCGCGCTAGGGGGATTTTGCGCAACGTGACGGTGCGATGCCTTGCGCAAAAAAAACCGTGGGTTATGTTTTGCTGGAGAGTTATATGAGGTTACGGGCAAGATGCTGGGCCTACGGCGCCCTAATTTGGGTCGCGGTGGGCCTAGGCGATGGGCCTTTCGGAGTTTTTTCGGTCTGGGGCGGCTGTGGCCTACTAATGGCGCGAAGTAAGGTTAACGCTGTTGGAGAGACAAGGCCCGTCTGCAATTGGAAACGTAAATGATGTTTATTACCATTACCATCTAGCATCTAGCTAGAGAGTAAGAGAGACTCGGTTGTAAAAATTCAATTCGTATGTTTTTAGCCACGAAAATTGAAGAATTCCAAATATTTCGAATTTTCACCACCAGTAACGGCGGTGACAACGTATTCAATAGGAAGGCGATGTTTCGCATTGTATTAGCTATGTCCTGTCCAAATTTGGTTAGTGCAACTCTCTCGGTTTCGATAATACAATACCTATGTATGTTTTCAGCCATGAAAATCGAATAATTCCAAATATTTCGAATTTTCACCCCCAAGAACGGCTGTGACAACATTTTCTGTCCAAATTTGGTTAGTGCATCTCTTCCGGTTTCATTCGATTTTTCTACAACCATGAACCATCATTCTTTTACTAACCGTGAATATGCCGATATGCATTTTATGTATGGTTTCTGTAATGGAAATAGTCTGGAGTATCGGCAACGTTTTCCTGACAGAAGGCAACCTTCTGCAAGATTGTTTCGGAAAATTCCTGTAAGAGCGATGGAATCAGGAGCTCTAACCCCAAGATATCGTGAATGTGGTCGTCCAAGGAGGCGTAGGTAGATTTTGATGAAGTAATTTTAAGATTTTTTGAACGTAATCTTACTGCGATTGTAAGTAAGAAGAGCGTCTGCTCGCTTTAAAACAAACAATACTTATGTATGGTATTGGTTAGGGAAAATGGATTATACCCTTATCATTTTCAAAGGGTTCATGGTATAGATAATTACATTTCTGTATCAAATATTTTCCAAATCCCCATGTCACTGTTGAAACTCGTCATCAACGGGGATGTTCGGTGGTTCGTAGGACGATTCTTTTCACCGAATCTATTGGTGTTGAATATCTATGCTTTTTGGAAAATAATCTTCCAGACCTGCTAGACGATATTCCTCTTGAAGTACAAGCAAATATGATTTCTTTGCAACATGAAGCTCCTCCACATTATGCTTATCAAGTGCGGGATTTTTACCATGACCACCTCGTTCGCCGGATTTAAAGGCGGACGATTTTTATTTATGGGGCGATGTAAAAAGAATGGTATATGCTACGCATGTGACTACCACTGAATAGTTGCGGCAACGTATTGGTGAAGCTTTCGATGCCATACGAATTCAAATTGAAAATGTTCAGCGTGTTCGATTCAACTTCCTAAGAAGATTACGTGCCTGTATTTCGGTTCAGTGTGGACAATTTGAGTCATCGCTTCGCACTCGGAATTAAGATTTTTTGTTTTTTATGCATTTTATGTCTCAAAGTTATTACTTAAAATTCCAAATAAAAATTTATTTAAAAAATACAAATCTACATTATTTAAACAAAATTATATCTGACTAAACTACGCAGAATTCGAAAAAAAAGTAGACATTTTTCTTAAAAAGTCTACATAATAAATAATATTTGCTTGATAGTTCAAAGGAATAAAAAAAATTCGAATAATTTCTGTTAAGAGTAGTTACAAAACTATCGTTATTTATAACCGATTTTGATGAAACTTATGGTAGTTAAAGACCCTTATGGTATGATTATTACCTACAATTTTCATTCCGTTACATTAGTCAGAAAGTTATTTTAAAAAATTTTCAAATGATAAGACCCCTTTGGAGGGCCATATCTCGGTAACGGTGCTCTGGAGGACCAGTATTTATAGGGACTTTTTTTGCTATTTTTGGATCTACTTTCACCCCTTAATTTTGTACCAACATTTCCAAACGCCCTGTATATTACTACTAATAAATCGTTAAATATATGGATTTATTCTTTAGTAACCCATACGACCTTCAAACTCTAATATTTCAATAACCGTTGGGAATCCGGGAAACGTGAATAGAATCCTAGAATCCTAGAAGTATCTCGGATACCTCGGCGACCACCCTGTATAATACTAGTCGTTATCTTGTTGAAAGAAACATATGCTATGTTTCAGACAATAAAGATTGTCAAGTAAAAGTACTATTTATTTAAGTTTTATTGTATATAAAAAAATTACAGTGCTCATTCCTCCCGACGAGGTTCTACTGTATGTTAAGAAATGTTAGTGACGTTAGTAATTGAGCATTATTTACGGAACCGAGAGGAACAAAAAAACGAAAAATTTCTTTTAAATCATTATCACCATTATTTTTAATTTTATTGAATTCGTGGTGGCACACGTAAAACTAAGTCAAAACAATTTTTTACCTGGTCGTCCTGTCCCTGTGCCACACCTCCACGTGTATCCTCTTCTGGACGTCGCCGCCGCCGGCGGCCGCCGGTATCCTGAAGGTGTGATTGAAGTGCGGTCTGGCCGAGTCTCCCTGCACGGCCGTTCGCTGCAGGACGGCGTGCCTCTTCCTCCTGCTGTCCCCCAATCGATCACTCAGGGCGACCTACAACCGAACAAGAATCATAGTAAGCGCTGCTGCCGACTCGCTCCCGGATTAATCATCCCCCGGAAGACCATCGCGGCTATCGACAGATTTTTTTCAGTGGGAAGGAAACGGAATGAGTTTGGAGGGACGTTTTTTGGGCTAGCGTCTTGCTGCAGTCGCATTTCGGTTGGTTTTATATCGCTAAATGTTTGCCCAATTTGCTTTAGTTGAGTGGTTGTCCCAATAACTTTGTAAAAAGCGCAAAGTTCGACTGATCCAACTAATAGTCCAGTTGGTAGAGGTTCGGCCTGTGTCAAACCTTGATAACCCGAAAATAACTACACAGGCCTACTTTAAATGATGTGTACAATAACAGGCTAATTTGCTGACAAAGTATTTTATCAGGAAAAAAAGTTATTAATTTAATCGTGAAAAAATTTTGTTTAGTAGTTTAGTTTAAACTCAGCGGAATGACTGTACGAAAAAATGCTTAGAACATGATTTGGTTCGTAATAAAAATAGCGGTGGTCCGATTACGAAATTTGCAATAACAAAGCCGTGAGATTGAAAAAACGGTATAAAACGTAAACTACTAAAAAAATTTTTTTTCACGATTAAATTGTCAATAACTGTTTTTCCTGATAAAATACTTTGTCAGCAAATTAGCCTGTTATTGTACTCATAATTTAAAGTATTCCTGTGTAGATATTTCCGAGTTATCAAGAAAATGGCACCAACAGTAACTTTTCGGCCTCTGTCGACTGGACTATAAGCTCTACTCGCGATGATCCCACATAGTTCTCTTAAGGAAGGAATTATTTTTGAATTATTTTTCCCTCTAAAATAGCACATAGGAGGAAAGTTTGAGGCTCCCCATTTCGAGCAAACTTTGTTTCATGGATTTTCATCAGGAATCGAAAGATTAGTCACACATTTAGTGTAGCGCTGCTGTGAAATACGTATTTTTCTGGCTGATTTGCATAAGAAACCTCATTTTATGTAAATCCTTAAATAACTCCTAAATAACGTACTATATGAAAAAATCAATAGAAACTTTTTTTATAGAAGATTTTGGTCCTGTGTATGTTTGTGAAATTCTCAATACTTTTCAAGTTATTCACGGAATAAGTTTTTTGCAGTTTTCCGGCCATTTCTCGAATTTTCCCGGTCCGTACCTACTAATAACCCACCTTGTATATTAAATAAATTTATCGTCATCATCAAATATTAAAAAAATTATATTACAAGCTGTTTAAAACATCATTACGAATTTTGTTTATTGGGAAATATATTTTCTGCAGTATTTCAATACCAAAAAATGAAAATAATAGGTAGCTAATTAACGAAATTATGATTAAAAACTTAATTGTAACATCGCTGCAGAATATCATATGAAACTACATAGATATTCGTTGATTCTTTAAAAACATTTTTATCAATACCTACATCATACATTTAAGTACCTAAATACAGTAACGCAAAAAACAGATATTGATAAAAAAGTGCACAAAAGAAATCCGTAAGTACGCCTGGCAACATTACCAAAGTCTTGTTTATATGTTGCTAGGATACGCGTAGGTACGCGGGCCGCTGCATTTGATTCTTCCTAAAATTCTGCTGGTGGTGTACTCTACCGGCAATTCGGAAATTTAAAACTGCTGGCCTATTCCAGTAGCGGTCTATTTTGTCTGTGGTACATATAATATGTAATATTAATTAATATTTTTTTAATTTACGGTTATAGATCTCCATAATAAGAAATGGCATGGAAATTTATTCCTATTTATTATTTGAGAGCGGATTAATAAAATAACCAAATAGTTGCGTATTATTTTTTTCTTTCTCTATAATATTGTAAATGCAACTAAAAATTTCCAGATGCATTTNTTTAATTTACGGTTATAGATCTCCATAATAAGAAATGGCATGGAAATTTATTCCTATTTATTATTTGAGAGCGGATTAATAAAATAACCAAATAGTTGCGTATTATTTTTTCCTTCCCCAAAAAAAATAAAAACAAAAAAAAAAATCCACAGACGCATAGACGCGTGACACCGAAAAAATAAAAAAATTTGGCGCCCCCGCGCTTTTTTCTTTCTTACCTACCTAGTAAAAAAGCCACGGGCCTCACCTGTCCACAACATCACGAGCCGTCACTACGCCATCCTTAGAGCAAATTTTATATTCATTTTGAGACTGAGTATTTCTTTTAGAGACCCGCTGTATAAATTATTCCAGGAAACCGAGCCCGTTTATTTAAAACGTTGCTCTCATAGCTAGAAACGCAATCTTCCCTTATTCCTCGGGAGAATTTTCCGTACGGAATCGCGAGAGAAAACAATGCCCGCCCCCTCTCGCCTCGCTCCCGTGCCGGGAAACGGGAAAATAGGAGATGTTTATTTTATCATCCCCCCTCGCTGTTCTAGCCTAGTTCAGGAGGGCACGAGGCGCGCGGATCGATCGGGGGGGTGGTTGCGTCACTATCGGAGGCCGACGACGTCACTGGCTACTTAGAGGTGCTCGGATTCACCAGGAAGCTTTTAGATTTATTGTCTTCATCGTCATATTTATCGGGCCGGGGAACGCTGAGTCAGCGACAGACGCTTTGTTGTTCGTCGTCGGTTTGAAAGCTCGGAAAGCGTCCTAATCTACTTAAGATTAGTGGAGTAGGTATCGGCTTTGTCCTCGCGTGTCGAAAGCAAAAGAAAAGCGAAGGAGTCCCCCCCCCCCAAGACAACTTAAAGTCTCTTAATCGTCCGTTCGAGAACGGCAAAGTGAAGGTTAACTTCAAAATTGTGAAGTACAAGAGCGTTAAGGTCGAGTTTTTATTCTTTTCTGATATGTCAGCAAAAGCTTGTAATTTATGCAGGATATTCATGCGAGCGAGATATAACCTATATCACAATGATAGTTGATTCCGTTACTTCGTCAATACCTAGCGACTTCGGCACATACTGGCAAAGAGCGACCTACTAATCCATATGTACTATGAAAGTTTGACTAAGTGTCGCACTAGAGCAAATAAACTTTTCAACTAATCGACCGCTTTGAGCAAACTCTTGGATCTTGCCGGTGTTACTCAAAAACGGTATGGAAGAGAGTTCTAGTGTGTTTAGAAAATTACAATAGGGTGGCTCTGGTCTCTGGTCTGGGTCATTCAGGTCTACATAAAATTCTTAGGTTTATTTTCTAAATTAAATATTCGCGACAGCGAACAGCCAACGGATCATGTAGAGTAGAATAACATCAGCCATTACTGTGCACAAGGTGAGATGTGAATGTGCATTATTATGGATGAAATGGATAATTTATTATCCAAGTGAGGTTTGGAATGTGTTACTCAGAACTTACTCAGAAGGAATCTTTATTTCACGAATATAAATAAACGACCTAATTGCATGGGACTACAAATTTTAAGCTTTAGGAACGACTTACGGATTATGAGATTTGAACACGTTTTGATTTCATTCTAAAAAAGTAGTCACAAAGATCTTTTCTTTCTGGGCTAGGCACTCCTGCCCTCCCCCCAAGCTACGCCCATGCCTAATTGGCTATTTGTCTAAATTAAATCTCTTCCGTACGGCATGTTTAACTTCTAATACAGACTTCCTTTAGTTTCAAAACCTCATTACTTATAATTGTAATTAATTGTAGTAATTAGTAATTAGCAAAAAAATTAAGGTATTGCACGAAAAATACTGTTGTAATAATAAATAATTATTAAAATGACCATAAAAGTAAAAAAATGTAAATTAAATAAAAATTAAATGTTTCCGGGACTATTTTGCTTCTAAGGCGAAAATGACTATGATTTTCGTGTTTATGTCGTCAAGCTACCCCAGAGTAAGTACAAAACAGTTGAAAAAATGTCAGCAATTTCTTTCTATAAAGGTCGTTGTGATAAAGTAAAAATTGAGTTATTTGAAAAAAACATACCCAAAAAAAGGGCAATTTTTTAGTCATTTTCTTTACTTAAATTAATAAAATCATTAAAAATTTTTAAATAGCATGGTAACACAACTCTACGAAGAAAATAAACTAAAAATCGTTACTGTAACTTCCTTAATTTTAAAGCTATTAAGACGATCCAAAAACGATTTTACGGAAAATTTCGACAGCTAAAAGTACTACTGTAAAATTGAATATTTTTGAACTCGTTATTTTTGAGATTTTTGAGGTAAAAGGGTTTGAAAAACATGACCTTCGCCCTCAACTGCAAACTTCTATCAGCGACATTTCTGTTAATTTTTATCCAGCACAAATAAAAAAAACAAATATTCTGTGAAAAAAAATCTAAACTTTTGTACTCCTGAATATTGTCCGTATCTTTTTTATTTTTAAAGTTATTTTCAAAATATGATAATTTTTTGGAATTAAAAAATTTTTTTTTCAATCAAAACAATATTTTCAAAAATATGCATTCTAAACCGCTTAAACTTGTATAATATATTGTTAGCGCATAAAAAATGTGAATTGTGGAAGGATTACCTTTAATTTTAAATCTCGTGAAAAATTCATCAGTTTTTGTACTGATTTTTTTTTCCGAAAAAGCGAATTAACAATTTAAAATAATCTATATTTTAAGAAAAATCAGTGGCGTATCATTTTTTTCTTTAAAAATATCCAAAGACGTGCCTGTGCGCACGCCACTGATGAAATTAAAAACAATATTTTTATCGTAAAACATGTATTGTTGTCAAAGCTTGTAAAATTTCATTAAAATATTCTGAGCGGTTTCCGCAATACTTGTATTTATAAATTTGCATTTTTTTTATTAAAACTTTATCACCCTGTAGATCATAAACTAAGCGTCTTACCAAACACCCTGTATATTTATGGTCCGTCCATTTTCCTTATTTACTAAAGAAATTCTCAAATTTCCACCTAACTAACGAGACTGTTTTGATCAAATCGTCGTAGGTGTAGGTGCTATCAGACCCAGTCAAGTGAGATTAATTTTAAACGTTGACTGGTAGACATCGGGCGTCCCATTTGCTTATTTATACATGTCTTAATAATAAACCCGTTGCCGACACGGTATCTGGGCCGGAAAAAATCCTGACAGCGCGATGCGCCGGGCCTCCATGTGGCGAAAAGCGTCTTTCAGCCGGTAATTGCCTCCGACTGACTATCAGTAACTGTCATCCTTTCGGAGGAGGACGCTCCAACGATCCCGAGAAACGTATGCGCGACTCTCGGTGAAGCCGGCTTAATTCGAAACATGTGCCGGGGCACCGATACGTTTCACGGGGAGATGATGCACGTCAGATTTTGGGAGATTGAGATCGTCTGGGAGCGGGAACGGATTTTTTTCGGCGGCGCTACCGCGGTAGTTCCACGAATCGAACGGTTCTGAAAGCCAGTACTTCAGAAATCCATAATTCAATCAGTTCTTCAAATACAGGGTTTCTTACGGTGACGGACCATTAGAATATTTCAGATACTACTTAGCTGTAACATTTCTTACTTATCTTATCTTATCTTTATCTTGTCGATAATACAATACTATATAGGGTGTTCCTTTTAAAATGACAAAGTTGACAGCTATTCAGCTCACATAAAATTCTTGTTTATGATAATTTGTTATGTTACCAAACTTGAACCACCCCGTATAACATTAAAACTTTTAAATAAATGCCAATACGAAAGTTCTATTCACGGTTCTACCATCTCATCGCACCACAGGAGTAGAGGGGGATGAAAATCAATTTGGGAAAGTAGGCCAACAAATGATTAAGGAGGGTTGGAATTAATGTGACTAGGAATGGTGATAATTATTACTTTTATAATTGAAATTCGTCCCCAACTGAGATCGTCCGACCCAAACTACTATTGTAGCAATCAAGACGACGCCATATGTCGAGCGATCGGAACTAGGATTATCGAGCTTAAGGGCAATTTTAGAACTGACTGCGAGAAATAATTTTAGACGATTTAATTTCAAATTACATACCTTGACGTAGGCGTTTATTTTTTCCCCATTGGGCCTGTAGAGGTCCTTGCATCTTATAACTGAAATAAAAGAGAAACAGTTGAAAATACTTCTTACATATAACAATTTGTTGAAAATTAATTGGTAGTGTAAATAAGCATTTGGTACTCACCATTGATAAATATCACATCATCTTCAGAATTTATTTTAAGATCTATGGATCCCCTCACGTCGATTATCCCACTTCTGGTGGTCGACGTACTCTCCGACAGACTTGTGGAATCGTTCGTTTTTGGAGAGTCGAACAAAAGACACCTCCTTATACCCCTGAATTCCTCCATAGGCGTCTCCATAACCAACGTATCCGCGCCGATTTCTTTATTCTCTAAATAGCAGTTTCTAAGAGGTGTGCTCTCGAAATCCATGATCTTCGACGAGCTATACGAACTGTTCCCTATTTCACAAAACACGCTATTTTTTCCCGCGCTGTAACACTTCATTTTCCTCATCTCATCAGTCCTACGCCGCCGGATACACTTCTGTCTCTTAAGAGTGAAGTTTGTGGTTTCTCCCAGAGACTTATCCAAAAACACCCTTTTAGAGTTCGTTTCACAGTCCAGAACTGTAGAAGAAGGCCTCTTTCTACTGCTTAAATCTTCATCGACACACCTTTCATTGAAGGTTTCGTCGATTGGAATAAGGGTTTTGTCAATGGGGATGTTACTATCGATTATTTTTTCCCTGTTGTTGTTGTTGCATTTGCAGATGAAGTTAATATCCAGCTGGTGTCGATTTTCGGTGGTGGAGCTTCTGAACCCAGAATCTGAAGAGTTTTCTGAAACATTTTCAACGCCAAACGTCTTTTGTTCGTGTTCTCGAGTTTCATTTAAGTCGTTCTCGTTTACGTTTACTATAAGACTAGTGTTAAGAGCTCTTCTAACTGTCGGCCTGATGCTGTCGTCCGTGGTATCAAGTATAGCGTCTACTATTTTGTCCAAAGACATGTCGTTGATGAGGGAGGAATCATTGGAGTTGGTTTCTAGCCTACTATCTACACTGACTTTGTTGAACTTTAAATCTAGGAATTTCTTGACTAGAGGAGATACTTTTAATTCTTTCGGGAATATCTTGGTGGTGGAGTTCAGTATGAGACCGGGAAATTGTAAGTTGCTAGTCTCCGGTGAGGAAACGTGAGTGATTTGTTGTAAGAAATCGTTGATGTGGTCTATTTTCGGTTTTTTATTGGGGGGGATGCTTTCTTCCTCTAATGCTTTCGCCAAGGGTTGTAGGCTTGCCCCGTTTCTGCAAAGAGGCGTTCTTAGAGGACAAGGGGTGTAGATCATCGGTAAGGTAGGGGCGTAGATATCAGGAACTCTTTTAATGCAAGAACCAGAGGTTCTTTTACAGTTGCAAGCCTCGTCATTCAAGATGCCTTCAATGTGGGAGTCCACAGTTTCAAAGGGTTTGAAGTAGTTGCTGCACTGACTGTTAGCGTCGATACCATGCGAGTTCCTGCACCGCTTCTTCTTCTTGTGCTGCAGTCTAGGACTCGTGGCCGGTGCGGCATGTTTCCTGTCGCTCTTACACTTCTTAGCGGAGGGTATCCTCCTCTTATCCGTAGGCGTCAGGTTGCTGACGTCCCGCAGCGCTTCCAACTGCAGGAAGTTGTCCGAAGACTTGATGGGCGTCGAGGTGAACTGATTCTCCTTGTCGGCTTCCAGGGCGTCGAGACTGCTGCGTTTGTGAAGGCTTGAGCGCCGCGCCGTGCTCGAGCGCCGCCTCTTCGATTTGCTTTTCGGCGTAGTCAGCTTGGCGTCGGTCCGGCAGGTGGGCGATAGAGGGCGCGAGGCGTCGGGTTTTTCGGCGTCGCGGCGTGGTATTACAGTCCACTTCAGCATGTTGGCGGGGACCTGGAAAAGAGGGCAGCTGGTAGCAATTCTGTCCAAAGGAGAGGATGAATTTATAAAACTTGTTTGTATGTTTGTATGTTTCTTGCGAGGGAAAAAATTGGAAAATTAAAAAAAAATTGAAGGATTCGAAATAAAAGAAAATTTATACAGGGTATTTCTAAATAAGCGCGAAATATTTTAGGGGGTTACAGCCCCCTGAAGTCCACCCCTAAGAATATTTTTTTTTTATATCTCAGAACCCTGTTGTACGAGAATCACTAAATTTGGTACACAGGGGTTTTATGACATGTGGAATCTGATGGTGCTACGTTTTTTGGCGGGGAACCCCCTTAAGACAATTTTTCGTGGGCCCCCTTGTCTTTGGAGCCAAAAAAATTTGGTCTCGCCAAAAAGTGTAGTACTCACACGTGTCATAAAACGCCTGTGTACCAAATTTAGTGATTGTCGTACAACATGGTTTTGAGATATAAAAACGGCTTCTTAGGGGTAGTTTTCAGGGGGCTGTAACTCCGAAAGAGGGGGTCAGTTGGTAAAAACAAAAAATACGGTTTCTCTATATTTGTCTTAAGAATCTATGACCAAATTTTGTTGCATGAATTTCGGGACACCCTGTATAGTTGAATAAATCGGAAATAACTGCAAATTTATTCGCTTCACAAAAATAATTATAGTTATTTTTTATTAGAAATATAATTTTAAATGTAATGGCAACCATAGAAGCTAAAAAAATCGTAGGTATAAATAATTTTAAAATTTTTAAGACAGATAGAGCCTAACCCCAGAACAACAGAGGCAAGTCAAAGATTTCTAGCTAAGGCTAAAGTCAAGCCAACAACAAAAAGCCGCGGTACATTTTAAATTTAAAAAAATACTCAAAAAAAATTCGATTTTCTTTCAAACATTTTCACCCTGTATAAGATATTAATGGACTTTTAACAGCTTTATGTTAACGCCCCTGCCAACAGGTGCAACACCAGCGTTAATTGAGACATTAAATATAATTTGTAGGGTATAATAAAGACCTTTCACGTGATTGTTTACTGTTTATAAAAACAACGCATAAAATGATGTAGAACACCCTTCCACCTGTCATTATTTTCAATAGGTCTCGTTCATCACCATTGGAGATAATAAAAAACAATACTTAATAAGATCATACTTTCAAATAAATCGGAAGTAGTATTTTAGCAGGTGTTCCTGACAAAAATTCACGGAACCAGCTGCGCTAATATCGAGACACCCCCCATCATTAATTCTATTAAAAAGTTTCTAGAGTTAGTAAATTGATAGTTTTTAGTCGTTTGTATAAAAAAAAATAAATTAGTTTGTGATAGATACGTGAGATAGTGACGCAAATTGTTACAAGAGAAATATATTAAAACGAACGAATTTGTAGATATATAAAATTAAATAACTCAACGACTGTCACATACGGAACAAGAGTTATTGTTCTGCAAAATATGAACTTTTATTTCTGTCTTTTTTCCCTATAAATACCTAAGTACTGGTATCATTCACAACACACACACACATTCACATTAAATGGGCCTTTAATCGCAATTTGGTCAACTTGCCTGAATTTTTTATATAAGTTACTTTGAGATACATAAGTGACAGTATTTTTTTTTCAACCCTCAGCCAGGGGGTATTAATAACCACTCGAGCACTCACATGTCCATTTCGGTATCCCCTCTCGAAACTGACAATTACTGTACGTTACATTTACGACCAAGCCTCGCATTGTCTCTCCCTAAATTCGCTCATTAGTAATTACAGTTAGGGCATTAGCATATAGCCTGTGTGTTTATTTACATATTATCGTACACAGTTAAAAAATCAGCGACAAAATTGTCACGGTAAGGTGGCCAGAGTTGCGGGACATATGGCTCGCTACAACCCTCCCGTGGAGGGATGATTGACATATGCTAAACACTTAGAAATCAAATCGCATTGTCCACTAATTTGTCAGGGAGGTGTGTGTGCGTTGCCTGGAGCATTGCAGTGTGCTGGAATCAAACTAAACAAAATGTTTTAGTATAGTGTGTTGCATTATTTTTAAAAATTGTTGCAGTAGTAGGTCACAAAAAATTTTATACTTAAATATGATTCTAAAAGTCTGTAGTGTTTAAAGATTAAAAACTTAAAAAACCCACGTTTGGGAAGTTAGTGTATTTTTTAAGGAGTTGGTGTTTCTTTTGGAGAGTTAGTGTTTTTTTTCGGAGTTTTTTTTATGTAGCCTGTGTAATTATTTTATAATAAATTCTAATAAGTCAAAATATGTTTTATCAGTGCTCTTTCAACAACAAAAAATATATATTCCTCACTAGCAATACTTTGGGGAGTTAGTGTACTTTTGTGGAAGTTAGTGTACTTTTGTGGAAGTTAGTGTACTTTTGGGAGTGTTAGTGTTCTTTTTGGGGAGTTAGTGCATTTTTAGGAGTTGGTATTCTTTCTGGAGAGTTAGTGTATTTTTGAGGAACTAGTATATTTTTACGAAGAATATTTCTTTTCAGTGTTCTTTCAACAAACTATATACTTCACTATATATAGTTTAGGAAGTTAGTATACGTTCGAAGGACTTGGCTGGTGTATTTTTGAGGGAGTTAGTGTACTTTTAGACACTTAAGTGTTCTTTTTGGGAAGTTACTGTATTCTCAGAACTTATTATTATCCTTTCTGGAGAGTTAGTGTTTTCTGAGGTATTAGTGTATTTTTACATGCATTTCTTCTTGAAAATAATTTCCTACAGTTTTTATAATAAATTCTGATTCGACGAAATATGTTTTATCACTGCTCTTTTTTAACAACAAAAAAATATATATTCTTCACTACCAATACTTTGGGGAGTTAGTGTACTTTTGTGGAAGTTAGTGTACATTTGGTGGAACTAGTGTACTTTTTGGGGAGTTAGTGTTCTTTTTGGGGAGTTAGTGTATTTTCAGAAGTTGATATTCTTTCTGGAGAGTTAGTGGTTTTTTGAGGAACTAGTGTATTTTTACGAAGAATATTTCTTATCAGTGTTCTTTCAACAAACTATATACTTCACTATCTATAGTTTGGGAAGTTAGCTTACGTTCGAACGACTTGGTTGGTGTATTTTTGAGGGAGTTAGAGTACTTTTAGAGAGTTAGTGTTCTGTTTCGAGAGTTACTGTATTCACAGAAGTTATTATCCTTTCTGGAAAGTTAGTGTTTTTTGAGGTATTAGTGTATTTTTACATGCATTTCTTCGATGAAAATAATTTCTTACAGTTTTTATAATAAATTCTGATTCGACGAAATGTGTTTTAACAACAAAAAAATATATATTCTTCACTACCAATCCTTTGGGGAGTTAGTGTACTTTTGTGGAAGTTAGTGTACTTTTGTGGAAGTTAGTGTACTTTTGGTTGAACTACTGTACTTCTCGGGGAGTTATTGTTCTTTTTGAGGAGTTAGTGTATTTTCAGAAGTTGATATTCTTTCTAGAGAGTTAGTGTTTTTTTGAGGAATTAGTATATTTTTATGAAGTTAGTGCATTTCTTCTGTGAAAATAGTTTCTTACAGTTTTTATTATAACAGAAATGAATATTTCTTATCAGTGTTCTTTCAACAAACACTCTAGCTATACTTTTAGAAGTTAATATACGTTCATAGGAGTTGGTGTATTTTTGGTGGAATTAGTGTACCTTTGGTGGAATTAGTATACTTTTGGGAGAGTTAGTGTAACTTTAGAAGAGAGGTAATATTCCTTTTGGAGAGTTAGTGTATTTTCAGAAGTTGGTATTCTATCTGGAGAGGTAGTGTATTTTTACGAAGTTAGTGCATTCTATGAAAATAATTTCTTATAGTTTTTATAATAAATTTTAAAACTGAATGTTTCTTATCAGTGTTCTTTCAACAACAAACAATATAATATACTTCACTATCTATACTTTGGGAAGTTAGTGTACTTTTGGAAGAGTTAGTGCACTTTTATGGGAGTTAGTGTATTTTTGTGGGAATTAGTGTACTTTTGTGGGAGCGAATGTACTTATAGGGTAGTTAGTGTACTTTTAGAGAGTTAGTGCACTTTTTAGGGAATTAGTGTATTTTCAGGAGTTGATAGCCTCTTCGGAGAAATAGTTAGTCTCTTAGAGGAATTAGACGGTAGTAGACATTATTGTGGAAACAATTGTAAGGCTTTCTGCAAAATGAAAATACGACACCGGAACTTACCCCCCCCCACTGCAACATTTTATATTTCGCATTTCACTATTATTATCGACGTGTTCATTTGATAATTCCTTTATGATAATTCACGCTCGCTACACTGTGGCGCTTTAGGAAAAATCTGATTGGATCGCGTTAAATTAAAATCGTATTGTTCGCAGTCGAGGGTGCTTTGTATTATGTCATTATTTGACACAACTGACACTCCTTTCAAGTCGATTTAGCCTGTACAATGTGTGCACGCTATACGTGGATGCGAAAGAGTGTATTGCAACTGTTAAGCTCGTGTCTATTGTTCTTGTTAAAAAGGGTATGTTTAAGGACGTATTTGTCAGGATCTGGTTTCTAGATTGTATGTGGAAAATGCGCGATTTTTGAAATGCGAAGGTCACGATGACTTCGAAAAAACATTTGGAATTGCTTAAAAATGTATCCACATTTTCCAGTTTTAAATATTTTGAAAATTAATTACTGCTATTATCAGATAATGAAGTAATTTAGTTAATTTTTACCAAAAACTTTTTAAACGAACAATTATTGCCATGTCTACAAAGTCTACTATATACCATTCCTAGTACAAAGCTACCTTCCGACTCAATTCTCGAAAGTTACCTACAAAAATAATTACATTGTATTCAAATTACTTTGTTCCCAAAGGAACAAACCTTCTGATCCCTAGAGAAATTAATTTGCTCGACTTTTTCATTAGCAACGTTGTGTCTTGATTTACATACTTTTATGTCTCACAAAAAGCTTTGAGAACCGTATAAGCTAAAGTTGTACCCTGTTGGCAAGCCC